TAGCTTTACAACTGGGAGATTATTTTTAGGAATTTCTCTGGCGCGTGGCTTTGGGGGGTGAGTGTGAGGATGGGGACAGAGGGGAGGGGGGACCCCTTCTCTCCCCCCTCTGAATGCACCACTGCCAGCTGGCTTGCCGTCAGGGCTGCTGGCTGCTAACAGAGCCCTCGCTGTTTTGGCCCTTGCCAATGCCTCCGGTTACAACCGGGAGCCAGAGACTTCTCCTTCCCGCGGGATGGAGCAGGGGAGGGCGGAAATCGGGGCGTTGGGGCGGGAGTTTCCCGGCTGGAGTAAGAGCAGATCCTGACCTCCACAAAGCCGCCAGCATGTTGAGGTGTGTGGTGGCCCCCTGGTCCCCCAGCACTGGGTCCTGCTAGCAGCTGTTGGCCCCACGGAGGAGAGAGGTGACCCTCAGCATATGAGGGGGGAAGGGGAAGGGGTTGGATTTGGCTTTGGTCACCAGTGGGACTGTGATCAGCCAGGCATCACTGCAGCATGTGGTGGGGAAGGTGGTCTGGGTTGGGTGGAGATGTGCATGGTACCTGGCAGTGGAGATGGACTGGGTCCCTGGGCTGTGCTGGGGTTAACCTCACATTTGGGCTGAGCTGGGGTTAACCTCCCTTCTGGGCTGCAGTGGGTTTAGCCCCACACTTGGACTGTGCTGGCATTAACCCCACATTTGGGCTGAACTGGCGCTTACCTCACTTCTGGGCTGCATTGGGTTTAGCCCCACATTTGGACTGCGCTGGGGTTAATCCTGTGTTTGGGCTGAGCTGGAGTTTAACCCTGCATTTGGGCTGAGCTAGAGTTCACTCACTCCTGTGCAGAGTTTAACCCCCATATTTGGACTGCATAAGCCCATGTTTGGGCTGAGCTGGGGTTAACCCAACTCCTGGGCTGAGCTGGATTTAGCCGTGCATTTGGACTGCACTGGATTTAATCCTGCTCCTGGATAAATTTGGTTTAATCCCACTTCTGGGCTAATTTGGTTTAATCCCACTCCTGGACTGAGTGGGATTTAATCCTGTTCCTGAGCTGCATGGGCTATAATCCCATGTTTGGGCTCCCCCATACTGGGACTGTACTAGGTTTAGCCCCATGTTCAGACTGTGCAGGACTTATTGGGCTGCATGGGGAAAGGCTGCAGCCAGTTTTACTGCTTTAACTGGGGTAATTCCAGTGCGCTGGGGTTGGGCTGGCTGCAGTTGTGCATGTGCAGGCATGGGGCCTCATGGGTTCTCAGCACCCCACCAAAATGGTGCATAGGAAAGCAGCCATTTTTGAGGTCCCCAAAGCACCATAGTGGCTGGGGATGGTGAGTGAGGCTCAGCCCTTGGCCTCAGGAAGCATCACCCCTACAGTGCCCAAGGTGGGCAAGGTGTTGCCCCCAGGTGCTGCCAGTGTCTTGGGGACCATCCATGGCCCTGGAGGCCCTGGAGGTGTCAGGCATTGCCCATTGCAGAGTGGCCTTTTGCAAGTGGGTGACTCCGGTAGCATCCAGCATGGGTGCTCTTGGGTTGTTTTATTTGCCACATCACTAGTGCTGCAATGCTGCCCTGGACCACCCTGGGGAGAGGTTAGGAGGCACCTCAGCTTTCTGAGCTGGGAGAGGAGCATGCCATGTCTCCCTGCTGCCATCTCCAGCCCTGCAGCATGGCATCGCCTACTTGTGTCACCCCCCTGCCACCCCCGGCTCTGCATGCAGCTCATTCTCTTTGAAGAGCAACTTCAAATGAAGCAAAGCAAAAAAAAGAAAACCAAAACCCAAACTCAAAACCCGCCGTCTTTCAAAGCACCAAGCGCAATGGAAAGTTGGCCTCCTCAGGAATCTACATTGGGCTTTGCCAGGCCACAGCGAGGCATGGCACAGAGCGGCTGTGCTGGGGGGACTGTCACAGCCCATGTGGGCATCAGTACCGGTGCACATGGCTGTGATTTTGGGGGAACGTTCTGGCTCGCAGTGTTTCAGTTTGAATGCAGAAAGGGGCTCACAGCAGGGTTTCCCCCTGCAGGTCCCCAAAAACAGGGTCAGTGCAGGATGGAGAGTGGCACTTTGCGTTTCTGGCTCACATCAGCTGGTGCCACACACAGCCTGATCACCCTGGTCATGCTGGTGACAAGAACATCTCATGCCAAGGGAGCAGAACCCAACAGTGCAGCCCTCCTTGCCCGGGCCAAGCCACAGCCCCAGACTGGGTCCCTCTGCCCTGGCCATGGTCGCAGGAGGTCACCCAGGCAGGTGGCAGACACCTCTCGGGCCAGAATTAGCATGCGAGGAGGAAGAAAAGCTCCAATTGTTCCCTCTGCCCCAGCTCAGCTCCAGGACCACTGTTCTGGGATTCCCTGTCCCCAGGACGTGTCACCGCTGGTACAAGCATCGAGGGATGCTTTCGCTGCCTGTGTGCCTGTCCAGGAGGGTGCAAAGGCAACAAGGAAGATGGCCTGGTAACATTAATTTTCATGCTTGTTTTCCTCTTGGTGAGTGAGTTTGGTAGCAGAAAGGGAGGGCATCCTTTCTGGTCAGGCTGTGCTGCAGCACTGCCCAGCCCAGAGCACCTGGCCCCCTGCCACGACACTACATGAGGGGCAGGAGAGGGCTCCCCGTCTTCCCCTGCTCTGCAGCTCCTTCCTCTTTTGTTTGTGGCCTTTGGGAAGGTGAGGAAGGGCTTGCCCTGTTTCTTCTCTCTGCAGTGATGCTCAGTCGTGGTTAGGTTTTGGCAATGCTCAGGCAGGTCATCCACTAAGCCAATGTGTGTATCAGGGGTGGGCTTGGTGCTGCCTTCCCCAGCAGCAGCTGCCCAAAAGATAACGTCCAAGGCAGAGAAGCTCATGAGGTGCTGGGGTGGGGATAGGGAGCACTGGGGAGACTCGGACGAAGGGTGCTGAAGGGTGGGAGGATGGAATGGCCCTCGGGGTGAGCAGTGGGGGACCACTGAAGGATCGCCATGGTGACCAGGGGTTAGGATGCAGCTGGGAATGGGGTCTGCAGGGATGCCCTCTGCACCACATAGGGGTCTGGGGTGCCTCTAGGTCTGCTGGCAGTGCCACCAGCAGCCAGGCTGGCTGGTTGGGGCTTACAGCGTTCCCTGGGGATGTTAGCAGCAGCTGGATGCAAATCGTGCCATGCCCCGGCTCTTCCCTTGCCCATGCAGGCAGGGACGCCTTTCAGCATTGCAGCTGCAGGGTCATTTTTCCAGACTGACCTTCAACCAGTCAGTGGCCCTAAGACCTAGCAAACTCGTGTCAGAAGTGAGCCAGCACCCGTAGAATATCCCCCTGCTACAGAGCAATGGGCAATGCGTGCAGCAGCTGTGCCTTCACCCTCCGCAGCATTTGCAGGAAAACCCAGGGCGGTCAGGAGATGAGATGATTTTATTTTAAAACTATTTCTCTCTCTCCACATTAATACACTCTCCCTTCTCCCTGACACCACCCCCCCCCCTCAGCACCATCCCCTTAACTCTGGCCCACGTGGTGTTGGAAGTTATTTTTGGTTGCTGCTTTTAAGTGTATTTTAAGTCTTCTTTTTTTTTTCCATCACCAAAGTATTTTACTTTCAGGCCAAATGTTCCCAGTTAGTTACCAGCATAGTTTTGGCAGAGACTTTTTAACTGATGTTTCTTGGCAACATTTCTATGGAGAGTTTGGTAGGAAAAGCTTATGACAGTCTCATGAAATTATTTACGTTTGGGGCTTGCAATAGAGGCTGCCTGGTGTGTTCAGCACAGGGTTGATGCAGGGTGCCACTTGCCTTTTCCCCTGCACTTGCTGGGCTGCAGCACATTGCCTTGTAGCTCTCATTTCCTTCACCACGCAATGTTGTCTGTGGCCATGGGCACCTGCCAACAAGAGGGGAACCAGAAGCTGCTTTCAGGTGCCTTTGCAGGGCTGGAGCATCCCTCCCTGGAGCCCCTTGGCTGTTTAACCTGGGTTCAGGAGGACAGGGATTTATACCCACAAGCCTGTGCTTGAGGCTGGCAGGGAGCTCACTGCTTCCTGTGCCCACAGCCAGGAGCAGAACCTGACAGTATGGGTGTAAATAAACAGGACTGCCTGATCATGAGGGGTGGACAGGAGGTCTTCTCGGGAGAAACGCTTCAACTGTTCCTGCTGGGGACAGGCCGGGCTGGCTGACAGGGACAGTGTGATGCTGCTGATGTAGGTGAGCGATGCTGGCCAGGATGGATGCCCTGAGGTGATGCTGACTGGGATGGACTCGGTGATGCTGGCTGTGCTGTGGTCTGTGGCTGGGGTTGACCCAATGAGAATTGTGTGCACATCCCTGACTCAGCATCCCCTGCACTTCTCACCTCAGACCCACTGGTGATCTCTGAGTGTGAGGAAGGGATTTCAGGGCCATTCTCCCAGGGTCCTGAGACCCCATATGGCCCCTAAGGGCACAGACCTGCATTGACCACCCCTGCAGCAGGTGCAGAGATGGGCAGTAGCATGGGATCCCCAGCCAGCCCCACTCTTGTTGTGGTCTGGGCTCTCACAGACCTGCTTTCCCTGGCTGTGTGAGCCTGCTCAAATCTAACTGCTGTCTCCTGACATGTAAATAAAGGCCAGAAATTCTCCTTGGTCCCTTCCCACTCCTGCTGCTCCAGCTGCTCCAGCTGCTCCAGCTCAGGTCTCTGGCCCACCCTGGCTCTGGGAGCCAGCCAGGGCTCCTGACACAGGACTGCAATGGCAAAGAGCCCTTAATCACACCAGCCCACACAGCCCTGAGCTCCTGGTCATTGTTTGCCCTTTGCATCCCACCACCAGACATGGAGACTTCTTGGCAGCCAGGGACCAACTGTGACTGTGATGCAGACTCTGTCAGATGTCCCAGCTGGGGTCCTGATGGTACAGTCCCATGCTGTCCCCAACAGGATGGGGTGGGTTAAGAGGGAGATGTGGGGTCCATGGTCCTGTAAGGATGCTGTGGGCTGTGGACCCTGCTAGCTGCCCTATTGCAGGGGATGACACCCTCTCCCTTCCTACTCTGCCTCTTCCAGATGCGCAGTCCCATTCCAGGTCTGGGCAGGGTGATGGTGCTCCTCACGGCAGCCCTGGCATCAGCCTCCCTCGCCGTCTCTGAGGGCTGGGAAGAGGAAGGTGAGCCCCCCGCCAAGCCCTCCATGCAGGCCCCCCTGTCCCAGGCATGAGGAACCTGGGGGCATCCCATTTTCCCCAGGCAAGCACAGACCTACCAGAGTCAGAGCGTATACAAAATGCAATCCCACAGAGATGGATGTTTCCTGGCCAGCATCTCCCTGCAGCTGCCCATTGCCCAGCCCCAACTGGGACCAGTCCTTCCCATTCCCCCTGGTGGTACCTGCATGAAACAAGATCCCCCACAACCATCTCCCAGCTCCCCAGTGGCGTACAGCCCAAAGCTGCCCACCTTGACACCCAGCCTTGGCATGGGTTGGCACAGGGTGCTAACACCCATCTGGGGATGTGTGTGTCCCTCCAGGTGTGCAGTACGGACAGGTGGGGACAGACGTGACCTTGTCATGCACCGGTGCCCGTGACGGGTAGGTGTTTTCCTTGCACACCAGGGAATTTTTCCAATGGGATGGTTTACAGGGTGGGCCTGGGTTGACCTGTCCTTTGACGCTGCCTGTCCGATCTCTCGTCCCCAGCTCACCGGTGCAATGGAGACGGGCAGGAGCTGCAGCACTGCCAGAGGGCTCAGCCATCTGTGATGGAGCCCTGGTGCTGCCGCACACCAGCTTGGCCACCGCGGGTACCTACAGCTGCCATGGCGAGGATGGTAGCCTGCTGCACACCATGTCTCTGCAGCTGGGGCGTGAGTAGCATGTCCATGGGCTGGAGTATGGGCGTGTGTGTGGCACCACTGGGACGGGTCAGTGATGCCTGCACCCCTGGCAGGGGCTTGCCGAGAGGGGACTTTGTGGTGACACAGGGGTCCCTGCATGCCAGCAGGGCTGCAGGACAGGGGACCCCTCACTGACCATCACTTTCCTCTGGACCCCAGACCTTCCAGGAGTCCCCTTTGTGTCCTGCAGAGCATCTGACTATGAGAATTTCTCCTGCTCCTGGACCTCCAGTGTGGAGACCTTCCTTCCCACCAGATACATCACCACCTACAGGTGATGTATCCTTGTGGGTCATGGGCTCGAAGTTTTACAGGGTGAGCCCTGAGTCCTGGCCAAGGGGAACCACCAAATCCTGCTGGCCATCCCACCCACACCCTAGGTTTACCTCCTGCCCCAAGAACCATGATGCAAGCCCCAGCAGGTGATGTTTTGGGGTGAGCAGAGCACTGTGCATTTGCTTGCTCCAGGGGCGTCCCCCCAGCAGCACTGGGGGACCAGCACAGGCAGGGCCCCCCCCC